AAGGTCTTTGTCAAAATTTAGTCCTGTCTATTTTATTAACGGATCTCCTTTAAAAAGAAAAGATTTGTATAAAGCAAGAGTTCATTATGCAAAAAAATGCGTTATATTAAGTGATTCCCTTAGATATGAAGAGTAAGTCAAACTTTAACAATATGAACTTTAGAAAAAGTTAAATGATATATATAATTAAATATATATATATACACACACATATAAGATCTTCTAACGGAACTGCAGATGCTGCCTCGATAATGATTGCTTTGAATATTGAATCCATGGCAGCACACGAAGAATGTTTCGTGATTGTAGAGTGTATTTATCGTGAAACATTTAAGATGATTGGTGAAAGTGATTCTGTAAAAAATAAACAAGATGATAATGGTAGTATTAAACATTTCTTTTTTTAATTAATAATAACGTCTCAATAATCATCATTATTATTATTACAGTACAAGCACTTTTACGACCATCCTTTATGAGTGGAAATGTATTTACACCTAGTAATTTAGATACTTTACTTTGTCAATGGTAAGTAAGAATAAATTATCACAAATATTCAAAAAAAACCAATTAATTAAAAGATTTATATAATTACAATTATACAAATAGTTTTTATAATAAACACATTCCAGTTATTGTAAAGCGTCTTATATTCAGTCATGATCCTGGTAATAAAAAGTTAACTCCAAAAGTTACTAATGTTCAAGATAATGAATGGCAAAGTTTAAAAATTGGATCTGGTCAAATGTTTCAAATTGATGTCCCTTCTTCATTTTTTGGTAAAAACAATGTATTTTAATAATATTATTATTATTCATAGTTAAATTAATTTAATTATATTTTTTCTCCCTCAACATTATATAGGCAAGGAATATCATTTATTTTATGATTTCTTGATTCAAGAACATAAAGCTGTGCCATTAGGACTTTACAGGCTTACTCAACATAAAGGTGGTCATCTAAGATACATTTATGTCAATCCTAAAGCTGCTACAATCCTTAGAGATGATGATAGAGTTTACATAATCTCTGATAATGCTCCTGATTTTAAATAATTTCAATGATTTATTGATTTATATATTTATTTATTTATTGATTTATTCATTTATTCATTTATTCATTTATTTATTTATTTATTTATTTTATTCATTTATTACATGATTGTTTGCAAAAAAAAACAAATCATTGATTTAATATTCTTCTAATACTTACTAACAAAATGAGGCATAAGTGATATATCGTGTAACAATTAAGAGATTTTTGTACATGGCTAATTCATACATAATGGCGAAAGTCACTTAATAAAATTTGAAAAAATCACAAGTTTTCGAAATCGAAACACCCTTGGCGAAATTAATATTAAAATCGAAAATCTAAAATCGAAATCGAAATTCAAAATTGAGCCAACTATAGTGGTTAAAAGTTGGTCAAACGATTAATCACTGACAAATACAAAATATTTTACAATGCGTTTGCCTCTTCAGCAGGTATTAATTAATCAAGAAACAACTTTGATTCAATAAAGATGAATTATAAGATTTTATTAATTAATTTAATCACACAAAATTGAGAGGATAGATTGATACTTTACTTTATAACAAAAGATAAATAATATTATTATTTTCTTAACGATATATATACAGTATGTTGCAAAAAAAAAAACGGTTGTCAAAAAACTTTTTATAATATTACTAAAAATTCATCAACTAGACTCAAATAAATTTTCAAACAAAACTTTGCCTTTTTAATCATTTAAATCATTTTCTAACTGAATCTGGCAATTAGCGGTGGAGTAATTTGCTTTTAAAATTCACAATATGGTTGAATTTTACTTGCTTTTTTGCAATTATGTTATTAGAATAAATGAGATACATTTACCTAATCAATATACCAGGTTGCTAACACTCTATTCTCAAATAACTATTTCAATATTAATAAGTTGTATGAAACGGGCGGTGTGACTTATAGGAGAGTTAATCGTTCGAAGAAACGGAATCACCTTTTGAATCACGTGACATATCACAATTTATTATGTACTAGATTTCTTTAAAATTTTGGTAATCAATTATAAATAATGTGATAGAAGTTAAAATTTAAAGATGTAGACGATTCATCTTAGAAAACTCCTGATTCATTTCTAATTAATTTACTTTGATAAAAAAATCAAGATGTCAGCCTTTAATTAAAATCAATAGTGAAAGCATTTCGTATTAAAATATATTCAATAAAAGTTCTGCCCTTAATCTATGCAACACATTGTATATAAGTGGCAATAGTTCAGGCATAGCAGCTAAATTAGGAAGAATATCGATAAAACCTGACTTACATTAATACTTTATATAAAAACAATCTACTTAAAGTGATGGTGGTTGAACATGCAATAGTAAAGATTTTTGAAAAAAAACATAAAAAATATTCAACTCATGAAAGCAAACAATAGTATTATTGTTAATAAAAAAAGATGTCTTCTAAAGAAAAATATTACAAAAAAGTTTTTTTTTTGTTATTTTTCAATTTAATTCTAAAACTTGAAAAAAAAATGCTACAGTCAGGACGATGCTTTGATAAAACGAATATACACGATAAACCGATTTTTTTATTACCTATCCACCTATTAAATTTATCTATATGAATTCATTCACTTCGGTTTAACGAGTTCGCTGGCTGGCAACACACTAAAATTATTCTAAAAAGAATTGACGTCAGCTAACTCAACCAACATCTTTGACAATAACTAATTTTCTTAGACAGTTAATAAGATTAGCAACAAACAGGACGATTTTGAAGAAGATGAACAAGTATTAATAAATGCTAGTGAAGTTTTGGAAACTGTCTGGATATAAACTAGTTAACTTGATTCATATTAGTGTCACGCGTAACCAATAAAATGCTTTACCTCCCTCCAGACCAGGAAGGAAGTTACGTAACAGCAATATATAATAATTTCGAAATTAATAAATATTCTTGATTTTTTTTAATTTTACAACTATTACTTATGAACAATTTACTTTCGGACAAAAAAAAGGAAAAGTAAATAAAACATATATTTAGTAAATAAATAAAGCAAATAAAAATAAAATGGTTACGCTTGAAGATAAACAACTTTGGGAAAAAGCTAACGAAGAAGGTTTGGAAGAACTTGGACAAGAAATTTTAAGATCTAGTACTGAGGATATAAATAATCGTACACGTTTGCTTGACAACGAAATCAAGGTTATTATTGTTATCATCATTATAATCATCATTCATCATTATATTAATTGATTGGTTGATTTGATACTTTTCTTCTTTGAATGCTCAACTTGCACAAATTCGTGATCATTGACATCACTATTTAATTAACCAGATCTTAAAATCCGAACATGCCCGTTTAACACACGAACGAAATAGCATGAAAGAAAGAATAAAGGATAATGAAAAAAAAGTAAAAGTTAATATACAATTACCATGGCTTGTTAGTAATGTTGTTGAGGTTAGTTTTATATTGATTTGATTACTTTAGATCGATTGTAATTATTCTAATTAATTTATAATGTATATATAATATATATATATTAACCCAAGATATTAATGAATTATGGTTATAATTAATTATTAGTTGCTTGATATGGATCCAAGTGATGAACCAGAAGAAGATGGTGCAAATATAGATCTTGATGCACATCGTAAAGGAAAATGTGCTGTAATCAAAACATCTACGCGTCAAGTAAAATTCATTGTTTTTATTATTACAATGATATGTTGCTACTATCTTAAGATATTAAATTATAATCATTATTATAGACTATTTTCTTGCCTTTAATTGGTCTTGTTGATCCTGCCACTCTAAAACCAAATGATTTGATTGGTGTAAATAAAGATAGTTATTTAATATTTGATAAATTGCCAGCAGAGTAAATTTATTTACTTGGATAGTTTATTTATTTATTCATTTAAAAAAATAAATAAATTTTAATAAATCATTATTTTGTTTATAGATATGATCCTCGTGTTAAAACTATGGAAGTTGATGAGAAACCAACTGAAGATTATAATGATGTTGGTGGACTTGATAAACAAATTGAAGAATTGGTGGAAGCTGTAGTGTTACCAATGACACATGCAGAAAGATTTAAAAATTTGGGCATAAAACCACCAAAAGGTAATCTTTGTTGGAGAAATGTAATTTTAATAAAATTAACTCAATAGGCTATTAGTTCAATGAATTAATCCTTCGACCAGGTGTTCTTTTGTATGGTCCTCCTGGTACCGGTAAAACATTGCTGGCAAGAGCCTGTGCTGCACAAACTAATTCTACATATTTAAAATTAGCTGGTCCACAACTAGTACAGGTAAAAAATTATAAATCTTTTTCAAAATAATTAATCAATAATTTTAATTTGCATATTTTATTACTGTAATCAAGATTGATATTATTGTTAATACTATTATTGTTGTTGTTAGATGTTTATCGGTGATGGGGCTAAACTTGTACGTGATGCATTTAATTTGGCTAAAGAAAAGGCACCTGCCATAATTTTTGTTGATGAATTGGATGCTATTGGAACAAAGAGATTTGATAGTGAGAAAAGTGGTGATCGTGAAGTACAAAGAACCATGTTAGAGTTTTTAAATCAACTGGATGGTTTTAGCAGTGATGAAAGAATTAAGGTTGTGTGTTATTATATATATATTATTTTTTTTTTTTTAAGGAAAAAATAAGTACACATATGTATTGTATGTTTCGTCTTTGGTATCTTTGAAATACGTATGTAACGTATTTCCATATCGTCTTATTGCTTTTTAATACATTTGATATTGATGGATCATCTGGAAAACATGTTCATCGTGATCAGACAATATTAATATAATTAATTCTTCAATGTTATTACAATCGTAATTGATGTGAAATTTTCCTACCATTAATTACTATTACAATTATAAACTTTAATTGATTTATTTAATATATTTTATTAATTTGCAAAATAAAAAATTTAAATCTTATTCATATAGTCTAATGTTTATCTTTTAGCTTTTTCTTGATAAACTTCATGAAGATAAGGAATACCATCCATTGCTCCTAATTTTCTAACACTTAAACTAGCAGCTATCATTCCCTCCATTATTCCTTCGACTATTTGTACACTTGATAAGTAATCCAATGACGTTTTAGGTGGCGTCCTAGGCTCTTCAAAATTTCTAGCCGCCCACAAGTTTCTTGAAAGACTAGCAACAAAAAATCCGATAAACGTGTCACCAGCACCAGTTGTGTCCAATACAGGTGTAGTAAGTTTATAATTTGTAAATGTCATGATGTTATCATCATTGATTTGTTTAAACCATGCTAACAGACCTTTATCACCCAATGTAACTATTAATATTTTTAATTGTGGAAATTTATCTTTTATAGTAAATAACAAATCTTTTTCTTCCATATTTTTCGATGAAATTGAATCTTTGCTTTTGTGTATTTTTGAGTAGAGTTCATCTGATTCAATCTTATTTAATATTAAACAGTCAATGTTATCGAATGGAAATATATCCATAATATTTGTTGAAAATGGTGCTGGATTAAAAACAGTAATCAATTCTAAAAATAAAGCAAGTATCTTTATTTATTCATTTAGGTAAAAATACACACACACACACACACACACACACACACACACACACACACACATTTACTGACATACCTTTCTGTTTACAAAACCTCAAAATTTCACCACCAACAGGGCCAATTTCATTTTGCATCACCACAATATCGGATTTTTTAAAATTTCCCAATTTTAAAATATCTTCAATTTCTTTTAATGTGATCATATGGTTTGTTCCAGGAAGAAGAATAATAGCATTATCATGTGTTGTTTCTGATAATTGAATAATCGCTCTTCCTGTTGGCTTTGAATAATGATATTATTTATTAGTGAACGATAAATTGTGTAAAGTAAGTAGCTAAATAGTATGATGTACCTGGTCCTCAGTAACAATTATATGTTCAACATTAACACCTTGTCTACTCATATAATCCCTAATTACTAATCCATCCTTTCCTATTTTACCTAAATGCCATACAGTAGCTCCTGCCTGTTTGATTAGTTGATATTATTATTTATTTATTTACATGTCCACAACTACATAGAGCATTAATTAATCAGTACTGTAAATATTTAATAAATACTTTTGCCAATGCAACAGCTTGATTTGCTCCTTTTCCTCCTGCTTTTTGATCATATTTGCTACTTGTTAATGTTTCTCCGCTTTGAATTATATGAGGAACTTGGAAATAATCATCCTATATATGGATTTATAGATTGCTTTAAATGACGTTTTTTTTTTTTGATTCAATTTGTGGATAAAGTCACTACTTACTATGTTAATAGATCCAATCACCAATACTTTAATCATTCCTAGATAGATATTTTAAAATGTTAAATGGTTTCACAAACTTTTATTGATCATCATACAAGTCGATCTTAATTCAAATATATATATATAACAAAGAATTTCCCCTATAAACCAACAGAATGCTTGAATCTGATTTAATCTGTTGTATCTTTTTAGAGCAGTAGTAATCGCATTGTGGAATAAATATTTAGGCAATCTATTAAACAACCGAATTCTAATCCCAACCATTTTGAACGTTTTTTACTAATCAGATTGTGAATAAAAAATTGATGACATTTTTTTTTGTTGCACGTTCGTGAACAAAAAAAAACAGTTTGAAAAACCAAGATGCAACGGTGTTTTTATTGAAGGCGGTAGTGGTGTCAATTAGTGTGTAAAATCACCGGCAAAACATAATTTATAGATAGTAAATATTGCAAATATTTTGTGTTCTACTACATGTTAACGTTAAACCTCAACCATTAACTCTAAATAAACAGGGGCTGATTTTTTCACCAGTTATAATTCTTACGATATAAATATATATTATGCAAAAAACTAAGAGGGCACCAAAGGTACCTTTTGGCAGAGAACCCCCCGTATTCATTATCACCTAATCTGGTTGTGGCTATACCATTTAAAGTGCTAGAGCCACTGACGGACTTAACAAACACGATTGTGGTAAATACACCAGAAATTAATGGTGGAAAATAAAACTTTGAACACGGATCAACGAATTATTTATTATTATGTAATCAAAAAAAATTGTAATCTATCACGCATCGTCCTATATAATTAAAGAGCTCAATTAATAATCAGCTAAATAACAAAAAAGCCTCTCATAGATCATCATATGATTATATTAATATAAATAGGTTGTCTTTCTTTCTTCTCATAAAAAAGAATTAAAAATCTGCAGAAAAATTATTTTAGAAATTTTTCGGTTTTTTAATAAATATCCCTAGAATTTTTTTTTGTTTTTGAACTCTACTCAAAAATACACAAAAGCAAAGATTCAATTTCATCGAAAAATATGGAAGAAAAAGATTTGTTATTTA